CTATCCCAGCCCGTCATACCCACTCTCCACGGAGATAAAATTCAAAATATGCATCACCGCCTTTATATAGCGCCTCCTACAGGGAATCTCTAGGCACAAGCTACCCCTAGAAAAATAGAGCTACCAAAAATATATGTCAATGACCACATGAGATTACCCCATCCTTGCAACTCGTAGAGATATAAGGCGCCGAAGTCGCCCTTGTTGACAGATTTCCCAAGTTCGGCTGTCAATTAGGCACTTTTAATGGAAATTTGTTATTCTACGACCTCCTCTCTAAAAATCATATTTTCAGAGATCTGTCGAATAAAACAAACCCCAGCCCCGTAGCTGTAATATTCGCAGAGTTATTAGCCCCCCAACATGCATGCTCAGGACGTAAAATCGGCTCTCCCAAAGTTGCCCCGTAATTCCCCCAAAAATCACGTTAGACACCTGTTTCATACTTATACATTACATATTTTTTCCAGCTTCTTAGAAGCAATACACATTGATATAGCGCGATCGCTCCTCACTCTTGGCCTCGGCGCAAAATTTGGTCAAAATATTGAGGTTTTCGGATTGACCGCAAACTTCACTCATAGTGGTTCTTGGTCCCGATCTTTACGAAAATCCTATTTATTTTGCACTAGAGAGTCTTACAGTAAAGCTAAAGTGAGATAGAAGTAGCTGAACCAATCAAGATCGCAACTTCGCCTGCACTTTTCCCCTACCTGCTGCGGAAATTGTCTGCAAATGTTTGTGAGTTGAAAACTTTGTGGACACCTCTATCGGACCATGCTTAGCACAGATCTTTATTTGAATTGTTCGTCAGATTATGATGTTACAAAATCGCCTTCTCATGAATTCTCTTTCAAATTCGAAAGTCGTGTAATTTGGCAGATATTCTATCCTACAATGTGCCACCAGCAGCAAAACAATATAAGAAATGTTGTTAGCACGTCGAGTACAATACCGCTCACAGAATGTGCAAAATTTCCCTGAATATCGCAAAATTCCGAAAAATCCGCGGAATTCCCGGAATTTCGCGAAACGTCGCGAACTTTCAAGAGTTTCGCGAAATTCCGGAAAGTTCGCGGAATTTTCGGAATTTCGCGACATTCACGGAAATTTTGCAAGTTATGTGAATGGTATTGTAGAATGCAAGAAGATGCCCAACGATTGTTACAAGAGCGCAACGATACCAGTGTGGAAGAGAACAAGGGGGATATAACAGACTGCTCTACATACAATACCGCTCATAATTTTCGTCAAAAAAGTCGCCGGACTGCGGCGGAGTGCGCTAGAGTGCGTCGGAGTGTGGCGAAGTGCGGCGGAGTGCGGCGGAGTGCGCCGCACTCCGGCAACCTTTTTGACGAATTATGATCGGTATTGTATGCCGGACCCAGGTTTATACGGTGGTATCTTTATTCGACCTTACGTTTCGACACAGTCGTCGTCTTCGGAGGTCTCTGAGCCACCGCGGTGTTAGTGAGGAAGTTAGTAGCCACACAAAGGACTCGGACGACACTCAGTTCATCAATTTCAGCACCATCAATTCAGTCACTCAGACAGTAAGTTCATCAGTTTCAACACCATAATACCGTCATACTTCCAGTATGACATCCAATTCTATGCTGTTGACTGCGCATTGGTTGTTGTAACTCAAATTCACTCGAGAGGCCAAAATTGTGTCCTCAATCATCATCGACCTACATATATTAAACCGAAGTGTTTCGCACAAACTAACAAATTCACTAGCAAATTCTCACATTTGCACAAATAGAATGGAACGAAAAATATACGAGGCAGCTACCAGCAGGCCCTGCCACGTAGTGGCAGAGAGCGGCTGGTGATGTTCATATTTGGAAAAAACGCTGGGAGCTCAATGAGCCCTAATGCACTTCAATACCATTTTTAAGTCAGCGAAGATTTTATTGCTACAAGAAGGACTTCTCGTTAATTGCTTGAGCGTAATCCAAGATTGGTACAGAACTTTATCGCACAGAATAACAGACAGACAGCACTAGCTTAATCTTAGTTTTGGTTGAGGCTGTTGTTTTTCTTAAAGGGTTGAGCTCTTTTCTGTAGTCGATGAGGTGTTTGATCGGATAGTTTACTTATGTGTCTTCGACTTTTTCAGACTCTGAAGAAGGCGAGTTCGCCGAAACCTTAGTCTGTTATTCTGTGCGATAAAGTTCTGTACCAATCTTGGATTACGCTCAAGCAATTAACGAGAAGATTGCAACTATGCCAAGATTCATGGATAGTCGAACATGGACGCTTATGAACAAGAAGGACTAATATACATACCGACGACCACAGGAGTACAATGTACTTATTTGCAGCTATCCTTCATCTTGGCATACACCCAGAATCTGAGGCTAGAATATGAAGGGCTGCGGACATTCTATGACCAAAAAACATGTTAATCGAAGCAATCGTCAAAAGATCATTTGTGTAGGAGCAATGCGTCTTGTATTACTTTCGGAAAAAATCTTGTGACCTTAGAGCTCACCAGATGATGGTAGGTTAGTTCAATTCGAACATCTTTCAGCTGCGCTTGCATTGGTACATAATTGTGACTACACATTAAGCTGATTGTTCCTAGCGTAACAAAAAAGCTTAGAAACAATGGTGTTTCAATTTTGTCCCAAAAGATTTTCGTTTTCTTCCTACAACTTTCGTTATTTGAATATCAACACAGTCACAATATGCACTAAGTTTGTTCGAAATTTTGCTTCTTATTTGTTTTGCGTTCAAGAGTAAAAGTGTAGAAAAGCAACTGAAATAAAAAGTCGTCGCACAAAACACCACCTCTCAAAAACCAGAATACCTCTGGAGAGAACAGATTAGACAAGGATAAATTTTCAAATGAGAGGCTCTCAAAATTCTTTAGAAACCTATTTATTGCTTACCACTGGACTTATTTAGGGTCTTCCATATTTTTACCGTAATGAAAGTATTGCTTGCAACGATTCGATCCGCAAATGTCAAAATAAACAAAGATGTCGATAAGTTTCTACAATAGAAGCTCTCTTATTTTTGAAATCGAGCATGTCGTATGTTGCCTGTAATTCATTGTCCTGCCAATCACCTTTCCTGATGGATGTTCGCTCTATTGACGTCTCGGCGTGCTCGTCCTCTTTAAAAGGTCTAAACGTAGATTGCATGTTCAATCTGAACAGTACACTGTCAGGATGTCTCTCTATAAGTGCTAGTCTAACGTCGCCGACGGTAGGAGCGCGAAATCATAGGAGTTGGAAGGCAAAACAACCCTTATTATACCGCATACTAGGTTCGCATTATTATACAGTAACAAACCTGAATTGTCTGGTGAAACAAGGTTATGTGCGGATGTTCGGACTGCTTAATGTTGTAAACGGATTGTCGTTTATGGGCTAGACGATGAGAAAACGAAGTTTTTCATGTTTTTGCCAAATTAGTGCTGAGATGTTCTAGCACCGACAGTTGTATAGTACATGCCATTAACCGTTAAACTTTACATTTTCAGCCTTCTATTATAGAACAGCTAGTTCACGAGAAATGACGAATCTAGCTCTCTTCATCCAAATTTTTCTTGACTAGTTGCCAAAAATTCGATATTTCTCGTAAACCAGCTGCTGTAGAAAGCTGAAAATTCACATTCACGCTTCTGAGGTCCTATAGTATACAACTGTCAGTGCTAGAACATCTCAGCATTGTTTTGGAAATAACATGAAAAACTTCGTTTTCTCATTTTCTAGCTGAGAGAAAAATACATCAACTGCATAGAGAAATGTCTTTTACGAAATGACAATGCATGAGCAGGTTAGAAATTTTTTAGGATTCTTCTGAACTGACTTCCAATTTTTCCTTGGTTTTTTGGGGCGTTTGAATCTTTTTCGTTTTTGCCTTCGATCTTCGCTTGGATCAAAGCTGCTGCAAAACTTTAGGCACTATCTTGTAGAGCTAGGTTTGCTCTATCTGATGATATATCAAATCCTACTTGAGATATAGGAATATTCCGAGTTATTGCGGTCTGTACCTATTTTGGTGCAGGAATTATGCATCAAACTAATACAATTGAGGCAGAATGGTGTTTTTTGATGATGAATTGACAAGGTCCAAAAGCCGCCATGCCCAACAGTGGAAATATAGCGTTTGCCACATAAGTCGCAAAATTGTGAAAAGATAGGAGGCGGAGGAAGAAGAGGAAGTGAAGGCGGGGGGGGGGGGGGTAGGAGGAAGTTTGAACTGACATAAGGTAGCTACATCAGACTGATTTTAGGCAGGCGCTATACTCCTCGAGGAGTATAGCATGGCGACGGGCGATCGCCCGTTGTAGCGACTGGCGATATGTAGCTACATCGAAAAAAAAATCTATTCTATTTTGCTCTCCCTTGATGCAGCGATGTTGAGGTTTATCTTGTGCATGCATGTTGTTGAGGTTTTCGGACTGCGTGATAAGAGCAGAACTATATTCTCGTGAATGAAACAATTTTTATATTTGATCCTTTTTTCCTTTGAAGGTATAAACTTTTCGAAAAAAACAACCTTGTTAGTCTCCTATCGCACTGTCGTGAGCGCATCTAGTAATGAGGAGAAGGAGGGTAAAGGGAGATAAACATCAGCCATTACATATATTGTAAATGATGTGGTTTCTCCGTAAGCTGTACCCTCTGAATCCCTTCGTCGAAAGTGAACAACAGAAAAATAAGACTTAAGCTTATTTCTTTGCTATATCTTTCCGAAAGCTGTGCTGAGGCGAAACATTTATGCTTTTGCCAGGAATGTGATCATCCATGTTCTTAGGCTAGTGCGGACGAGATATACTTTAGATTTAAATTTGAGAATGGGGATCTAACTAACTTGAATCAACCAATCACATTTTAAGTAGTGGTTGACTTCTCATTGACCATTGAGTTAAATACTGTGTCCAAACTTTTTCGCCGCTTTAGAAGCAACTACCGTGGTATGTGTTGCTATCACTTGCAATTATACGAATTCTGCACCATTCGCATAGCTCAGTTTATTCTGTGAGAAAATGCTATGATTATGGTAGCGTATTCGATTTGCCATCCTTCATAGTCCAAGTGCGCAGGAAATCACGTCAAGAATATGCTTTGATTTCTCAATATCTTCACCCTTGCAGCTGAAAAGAGAAGTTAGCCTTCTAGAACATTGACCTTTCAAAACGGAGTACGTACTGGCACTGGTATCCTCCACTGCAAACTTTATTGTACACCTGGACACATTCTCCCCTTTCCTGCCCCTTACATTTTCGGCAGTAGTCGTGACAGGATTTCCAAAGTTTACCAGTGAAAAACTATGACGTGGAAATATGTCATCATATGTCAGTAAGAGAAAATCGACTTACGCTTGTTTGTGGGGTACAGCGACTCCAATTGTCGTAACAGGTGGCCAAAGGGTTCGCTGCATAAGATGGACATATGAATATTAGCGACAGCACGACGTAAGGAAGCAGTCCAAAGAACATGTAGCCTCGCATTTTAGGGTTGTATGAGCAGTTCTCCATGCGTATATTTATACTCCATTCGCCTTGCTGCCACCCCTTCCCCACCTGTGGATGTTTTTACGTTTAAATCTAAGCGATAAGAAAGCAATTCAAAAAAGCTTGCATACTTAAAAGTGAATCATCTTCTCAATTTTGCGATCTGCAAAGCACTCATGAACTTATGAATTTTCTATGACTCATTTGTACAAGGTCCACAAAAAGCTAGCTGATTTCGCGAAAAAAACTTTTCCAGACAGCACTCTTCATCGTGCTGAGGCTAGTGATTGGTCAGCTTTGACAGCGATATTAGAGGGAGAAAAATTGATTCCTTGGACACAAATGACATAAAGTGCGGTTCATAATTATACGAACACCCAAAATTTTGTAAGTTTTCGAATTTTTTGGGAGAAACTCAAAAAGCCGTTGGTACAACGCGAAAAAGCACAGCCGAAAATGGTATATGATCCATAAGAATGATAATCGCTGTCAATTTTAGGAGTGTTTTTGCGCCTAATGCGAATTTTTAGCGGTTCATAATTATACGAACATCTCAAACAAAGGTCCATTTTTCATTTAATACTGCAATCTTTCGGGTCCAATTTTTTTGTGGAGTTACAGTAACAAAGTGTGAAATGCCTGGTACACACTGAACCCAGTGCAGTTCAAAAAGAGAAGCGTTATTATCCCAGATGGCTCTAAATGCTTTTGGAGTCACTGCGCTCCAAAAACGTCTGTTTTTCTATGGTTTACGCACTATAATTAGCTTTTGCCAAAGCTATGACATAAAATAAACTTTTTCGATAGATATTTTGTTCGACGCTTGGAAAATCTTTGCGTTTTCGTGCCGTTTTTCGAATAAGTTCCATCTTTACCGTAGAGTCAGCGCAATTTCGAGCCTCAAAACTCAGCTTCTGTCCCGCGCAAACATTTGATATGAAGCAGCGGCATTGCTTGCACGATGGTGTATTCGTGCCAAAATTTCTGGGTTTTTTGCAGGACTAGCCTTGAACTACGGAGCAAAAAACCAGATAAAGGGGTGATTGCAATAGTAAAAACAGTGGATTTGGTGAAATGACGCCTGCGTTGCCAGAACAAATGCTCAACATTGCTGATTTTTTTCTGGCCAACTCCCAGTCCTGTGTACTTCTACATATTATGTGCTTACTTCATTCTAGGATTTTAGAAGCTGAGTTTTGAGGCTCGAAATTGCGCTAACTCTAAGGTAAAGATGGAACTTATTCGAAAAACGGCACGAAAACGCAAAGATTTTCCAAGAGTTGAGCAAAATATCTATCGAAAAAGTTTATTTTATCTCATAGCTTTGGCAGAAGCTAATTAGAGTGCGTAAACCATAGAAAAACAGACGTTTTTGGAGCGCAATGACTCCAAAAGCATTTAAAGCCATCTGGGATAAGTAACGCTTCTCTTTTTGAACTGCACTGGGTTCAGTGTGTAGCAGGCATTTCACACTTTGTTACTGTAACTCCACAAAAAATTTTGACCCGAAAGATTGCAGTCTTGAATGAAAAATGGACCTTTGTTTGAGGTGTTCGTATAATTATGAACCGCTCAAAATTCGCATTAGGCGCAAAAACACTCCTAAAATTGACATCGATTATCATTCTTATTAATCATATACCATTTTCGGCTGTGCTCTTTCGCATGGTATCGACGACTTTTTGAGTTTCTTCCAAAAAGTCCAGGAACTCCCAAAGTTGGGGGTGTTCGTATAATTATGAACCGCACTTTATGATCTGCCGCTTAGGCCTAAGGCATACCTCACGCGATTCGGCCAAATCGCCACTTTCACGCGACTTGGCGATTTGCCAGTTTCTAGAAATTTATCGTGCGCGCTTCTCGGACGCATATTTAGGTAGCTTGTATAAGTTGCTGCAACCGGATCAAGTTCTGAGCAAAGGCAGCGCATCAACGGCGAATTACGAAGAGTCGGTTGTGCCAAATCGCGCAGCGACCGGAATCGGTATGCCTTAGTCCTTAGGCAATGACCTTACTAAAGAGTCAATACTCACTCAGGAAATCTAAGCATCCATCAAATTTTCCTTCAAGCTCTGACTACTGCTACGGGATATACTTTGCAAGAAAAGCAATATGGGGAGTATAGGGATACTGAGTTAATAATGACTTAATAACTTTGATTGCTCAAACGTTGCGGACCACGCGCGGCGCGGCTGGAATGCTGCGAGAGCACGATTTGTACAATGGCGAGTTCGTACTGGGGCAAGCGTTTTACCCAACGGCGCGTGCTCCGCAGTGATGTTCAGCCGTGCGTTCAGCGAATCCACGATACTTTTTTCTCGTTCATATGAATATTATAAAGCACTAGAACCCCTCCTTTACTTTGCTAGAAGAAATGCTGCACTCGATTTGGGTAATTGAATTGTTCATGACTGTAAGTTGATGCGTCCGAAAATGTCCGTAAACTATTTAGAAAATTGGCAGCTGTAGAAAAAACAATCCGAGCTCAACTTGAATGAAGAATCTTGTTATTGTGACAGTTATTTTGATTGCGAACTTGTTTGAACAATCAAAAGTCGCGATTTAAAAAGGCCTATGTGGGGATTTGCGAACTGGAATCTCCACACCTGCACTTAAATTTTGGTAAAAATTTGTTTTTTGAATGATATTCGATCATATCCTCGATACATAGAGCCATGTACTCTAACCTTCACTTTGGACCATAGGAGGATACAACCTACATCTGGAAGAAAACAGAAGTCACCGTGGCTTCGCCCCGGATGTTATAATCCTGACTATATTGGATCGAATGTGAATAAAGCAAGTATAGGGAAGAATATCTTTAGGTTATCTTAACGAAACCGGAAATTTGCGTTTTTATAGCCTTTTTACGCTAAAAGGAAGGTTCTGTGTAAGTTTCCCCAAAATTCAGGACAACATATCTCAGTTATTCTCTTATTTGACCAAAATTGAGTTCCAGAAGTTTAGGAAAGCTGTTGGAATTATATATAAACAGAAATTACGCTTAAATCTTGCGCAGGCAGTCGCGCATGAAAACGCATCTATCTCCTTAATGAGTGATTTTCAACGCTTGGGACGTTGTCAGTGCTCCTCGTCGTGTCATGACGATCAGAATGATAAATGTTGCAGGGTTTCGTTAAGATCCCGCGGAGATCTACGACCAGAGCCAAATGCCCCGTCGGCTCTGGTCTGTCCCCGCTGCTCGTCTGCGTCTCCGCGCGCTGCGCGCTACCTCGCTACCCCAAACGCGGGCGTGGGGCATTTGGCTCTTATACCCTTTTACTCGTTGTTTCGAACCTATTTTTACGAGATATACATCATATTGAAGCTTTTGATCTCTACTCTCACGCGACCAAGTTCCAAAACCATATTTTTTGGTTCGGGCGAGTAATCCGACAAAAACCTTTTTTCGAAATTCTCTTGTTTATCCCTTAGTTCAACTCTTTTCACGCGGTTTTTTGTGCATTCTATACTTGCTCTTGTTCATAATGCAGACATCGGCTCAGTGCTTATCTCTTCGAGCATGGCGGAATTTTTTGTGAAAAATCTTAAAAAGTGCGTTTTTCTTTACATTTTTCTGTTTCAGTGTTTCGCAGCGATTTTTTTCCAGCTTGGGCGATTGTTGCTCAGAACATTAGCACAACAATCCAGACCACATCCCAGGAAACGAACATCAATGAGGGAGTAAAAATTTAGAGAACGCATCAAAAACTAAATTTGACTTTGACGTGCACTTCGACTTAGTAAAAAAAAGAAACTTTGTTTTTTGAAACTAATTTCTTTCTTGTTTCTTTTCTTGAAACCACTGCTTCCGGAACATGGTTTTATTAAAACAATCACTAAAAAGAAATTAGCTTTTCTTTGTTTTCCCCGTGTTGCGAATTGCTGGTTCTGGAGCGAAAACTTGCACTTTGAAAAGCCGCCAATGAAAGATTTCAACCCCATTGCAGCGTTTTTATCCGGTTTTCAGCAGTTTCTTTTGCTTTTTATATCTGTTTTGAATTCCTTTCTTCTCTGATTTTCCATAAACAACTTCACTTCTTATGAGGGCAGATGTTTAGACAACCTTCACTTTTGACGCCCTGTCTCTAGACTATGGAAGGTATATATTCGATATAAGTAAGCGAACAATGTGTCACCGGTAGGCTCTACTCCGTGCCCGCGATCCATCCACTTCGAAGGATATTCTTTAAATGGTATACCACCTGAAGTTTCGCCAACAGGATCAGAATTAAGAATGGTATCTTGCAACATTCACATTTTCAGAAAACAACACATTTATTTTACTGCACTTACCATCTCACTGTTAGGGAAATGGTGTTTCGTTGTGCAGTTTTTCAAACTCGCCTACCTTGCTCCATGTGATTTTTCCAATTTTCGAAAATATTCGAGTAAATTCCCTTTTGTGCGACTTAAAGTTCTTGTAGGTAAAATTATCTTTGGTGCTTTGTTTAGAACTACTATGAAAAGGCTATTGTTGGGATACTAACGCCGAATGCGCCACTTGCAACCTCTGCGAAAATCCTTCCGTCTCTCAAAATTAAGACAGCAAAAATTTCCTCGAACATGTGCGAAGAAACCAAAAACCAGGAACGTAGGGAGCAAAAAAGCCGAAATAAGCCAGTGATTGTGCAAAAAGTCATCCAAGGATTGAGAAGATGTTCAAAAAGGGCAACGCCAAGTAACATGGCAAGAGTTTAATCGTAGTTTTAGCCAAGGCGTCTTTGCCGTTACAAATTTACGATCTCCCATTTTTCAAAAAAAATCCTACAATTTTCAAATGAGTCGGTAAGCCATACCAAGCCAGAAGATTTTTGAAGGTTATGCAGAGGAGGACATCGATGACGGAGAAAATAGGGGGACTATGGTCTAGTGATTTTCGAGCCGCAAAAGTTACTGATGCATTCCAAGAATGCTTCGTTCTCTAATCTAGCAGTCACAAAACATTTTCTGAATAAGGAACTTACAAAAGACAGAGTGTTCTGGAGTGCGTTCCATTGGAAAACAAGTATATTATCTTCTACCTGTGAAGACTCGCGCGAACAATCATATCCTGCTATACCAGTGAGC